TATATATATATATAAAATCTTCATTCCATTGAATATAAAAATTAAATGAGTAATATATTAGGTGCTTTTTTCCTAAAACCGAAGATTTTAAATAACACTTCAATTAAGTCCTCGGAGAACACCCAAGAGTCGCTACGAATGAAGCAGTTCCATGAGAAACTTAAATTGCAACCGATACCAAGTATGTAATAGCAATTAATAAAAATTAATACAATGCAAAAAGATATTGATATGAGATCCTTTTATAATGACATGATAAAAACTTCCACAAAAAATTGATTATGTAAAACTTCAGGAATTTTCATACTGATTTTTTTCTGATTGACATGTAGAAGTAGGACCGCGGGAAAGATTCGTGGATTTAGTATTAGTGGAAACCGACCCGAAAACTGGAGAACTGATAACAAATAGCGAGAAAGACCCTACTAAATGGGGAGACTGGCAGCACGGTGGCAGAGTCAGTGATTTTTGAAACGAAAACACGTATATATTTTTTAATGTAATTTCTATAAATATATTTAAAGAACTCTAAAAGAATTCTTACTTCTTAATTTGCAATGATCAATTTTTGCGTTTGTAATTATATACGCGGAAAATAAATTAAATTATTTCGGTGTTAACTAAAATAACATAAATCAAAATTATTTCTTGATATGAAAAAAATATATAAATTAGATTAATATAATAAGTATAGATGTATATGAAGGAAAGCTTTTGTATTACAGAACAAAAATTGTATATCAGTGAGAGGTAATAAATTACATTGTACAAAAGTGAGCTTTTTTGCTGGACTATGATACCCCCGAGTAAGTTTTCAGAAGTTACTACAAATTTATTAGTAACGACATTCCATGATATTGTTAACTTCATACGACTTTCTTTCCGAAAGTCTGGCACTATGGCAACCTACACAAAAAGCTTAATTACGTCATAATGTACAGAGATTATCAGTACATTATACATATAAAAATATGCAATACTTTGTCAAATACTGAATACTGTATGTTAGAATAACAAACATTTTATACATCAAAGCGGTTAAATTTCTCGCTACTAATAAGAAAACGAATGTTCAACTGAATCATTAATAATATCGACATATACTATGATTGTGTAAAAGATCGAATGCATAGCTCCGTCGAATGAATTTAAATCGATCCACATTCATTATTAAAACATATTCTCACGCCAATAGCAGCCAAGATATATAATAAATTTTCAAAGAATTAACGGTTAAACCGTTCACGTAGAAAAGGAGCTTAGTTAATTCTACAGATATATCGTATCAAGAAACATATGTACACGACACTGTAGTAAAAATTTCATTTTGTATTTGCCAGTACGTACGTTTTCAAAATTCTTCCAATCGTATCGAAAATTCTTAAAAAATAATATGCTACGAGGTTTACACTGTTGCATGACGCAGAATTTCGTCCTTCTTTCTTTTCCTTCTCGGCTATTGGTCAATAGCAAATAGATCATTTGATTAATCTCACTATGTCTCTTCAACATCTTCTGAGAATATGAAAGTAGCACTGATAAGAAGCACGACATCGGTTGCATTATCAGTACACTGCTCCGTTTTTTTTTCTATATACATACGCAGCTTCATATTTTATGTAAGTTTCTAATACAGGAAGAGAGTTTCAGCTTTCGTGTCCCTTATTACAAGAATATGTGTTACTTGCGCTATACAGAACGTATAAAATTTTGTTCAAAAGTGAAAAATCAAAATCAGCAAACGTATTTACACAATGATCTTCTATATATAGTATGATTTTTTTATGTACACACATCGTATAGTTCTATGCAAACATGTGGTATAAAGTACTTAAAACAGAATTTATTTAATACAAACAAAAAAAGCGTAAACATTTTATTCGCAAAAAAAAACAAATTTCTTGCCAATCATATAAATAATGCCTGAGTGATTAAAATAAATTTCAAATATAGTCAACTTGTAGAATTGCCTAAAGATATTTTGAGATATATATATCATCAAACTTAGAATGTAGATAAATAAAGTAAAATTAAGTAATTAGAAGAACGAGAAAGAAAATTCTAAATATAAATATTGTTTAAACGATCGAATACCGTCAGTCTTTCATCCGGCGTCGACGGGTTTGTGTATTGTAGGAACGTATACTTTGCACGTTCAAAAATTATTAATTTTAACAATTTATAAACTATAAAGTTTTATTGATGGCTAACACATCCCGCATCATCATGTTTCTGAGTGTCCACAAAGCGTTTACCACATTTCCATGGTTTCCAACGCCATTGCCCAGCCATTCGGCGGGCAGCTTCGTCACATCGGGGATTTGCGTATTATCCGGATTAGCGTTCATCTGCTTATCCCAATTTGATATGTAACGATTCTCTACGTTTAGACCTTCGATGTACCTACAAGCGAAAGAAAAATACGATTCAGTATGATGTTCAAAGATGATTTGTTTTCCACAAAATTTAGCTTAAACCTACCTCAAATAGGCGTCCGAATGCAATACGCGACTTGGTCTCGGTGGTACCGCGACAAACATCGGCTCTGGCTGTTTAGTGGCGGGCAAGCTGCTCGTCTGAGTTGCAGCTGCTGAAGTTTCTATGTGAAATGTGTTTTTCCCTTATTCATATCGCGCGTTTACGTAAATTTGAAATAATATATAATTACCTGTTTCCATTGGAGGCAATACCGTGGGTCCTTTTGAAGGCATGTAATTTCTACGAGAATATAAACGCATAGGATTTATAAAAACGTATTTTACAAAATGATATATGAAAAAGAGGATAAATTCTTACCTGCTCCTCTCAGAAGGTGGTATTATGCGACCATGCGACTTGAGAATATGCACTTCTTTAACGTGTCTTGCAAGTCTCTGTACGCTCGGGAATGGCGGGACAGATTTCTTTGTTCGGCCGCAACCACGCCACTGGCACTGATACTCCACATCTATAACATTGATACAATATAGTCCTTTGCATCATTCCATGTCGTGCTGCGCGACTGCTGCGATTGTACTTACCACTAGGAGCGTTTACAAACGACGATTGTACGTGACCGTTCTGCTCCGCGATGCAGTGATCGATGCAATCAGTCATGTCCTCGAACTGCCAATCGCAATTGTCCCAACAACATTCGTACACAACATCCTGCGTGGAGTTCGTGCCTACTGTAGTTGTACCCTTAAGCTGACCACCGTCTTCGTTCATTTTGATTGCCCGTTCCTCCCATGCTTGCTTCTCCCCTGCTGGCAATTTCCTCCACTGGAACAAAAGTGATTTTACGTTTTACGTAACCAGTTTCGTTTCGTTGCTCTAATTAGTTATCAGACAATTGGCAAAACCATTTTTGCCGTTTTAAAAGTGGTTCGACGAACTGTTTCAATGGCTACTCTCTTCTTCATAAAAGACTGGATACAAATAACGTTTATACATCAAGAATGACGGTAACATATCAAGGCGGAGACGATACAAATTACAATACGATATGTATATGCAAAAGTAGAAACTGATATACTACTCTTATAAAAGAATGCAGAAGATGCATTATTGTATTTTGTACACACAAGCATTTATATTTATATAATATAAAAATAAAGAGTAGCCATGTAAATTTATTTTGATAAAGGACTAAGTATGCTGAATAATGTTTTAGCGATGTGTATGCAAAGTGACTTATACATAATCAATTAAATTTTTTAAATTTTTCTTATCACATAAATGTCAAGATGATCAAAGTTTACATTGTTCAATGTAACTAATTTAATGCTTGAACAAAGACATTATGTGATCATGTATGAGAAAATTTATTCTGCATACATTCCTTCATCGAAACTCCATTATTAATAAATTAAAAAATCAACAGTGAAAAAGAAATAAATACCTCGTTGCCAACAATTCTGCTAATCTCTCCGAAGGATGATTCAGGATTGTTTTGTGTAATCTGCGTTCGCATTTTACTCGAATATAAAATATAGCCCGTAACTAATTTCTTACCCGCCGTTTTCTAAACAGAAGAGAAAATACAAATTATAATGTCACCGTGTTCATGTAAACGAGCATATTGCCTTTACATCTCTTAACAGAGGTAACATCAAATTGTCGATCTATTGTTAAGACAAATGGTGTCTTCAAACGGTGCAGAGAACGAAAAGAGGTATGTATGCTGGCATATTTCTCTAAATAAAAAGAAAGTAAAATAAACAAAATATGACGTGTGACAATAGTTGGTAAGAATGAAAAAAAAAAAAAAAAAAAAAAAATAAAAATAAAGTGGTCACGGTAAAGCCTACCTTCTTAGTCGACACAGGTGTCTGAGTATTGGAGAGCACCGGTTGAGCTTCCGTAGATCCAACGGATGGTGGACCACCAGCATCCATGCTGTCTTCCCCAACTCCTACTCCCACTCCCACTCCTAATCCTACCCCCATGCTTAGTACATCTGGTTCCAGCTTCGGTAACAATGGTGACGCTTCCTACACCATTTATTTATGTTTATGTTACCTTCGTTATCCCTTATTACCGATCACGAGATATATTTTCGCGACTTTATCCAGTAGAAAAAGTTGCACATAATAAAAGGAACGCCATCCCTTCTTCACGTCCATCCAAAGAAAACTAATTGCGATATTCTCCCATTTACGTTATATTCCGTATATGTACTCTAACCTCTCTTTCGAATGTAATGCAACTGATGTCCGGTTTCTTTTTTCAATTCGACACCATCAACATATGTATATTGTAATATGTAACGTATATATAATCGCAACATGTCAATTATTAATTAATTGAAATTTTTGCATTAACAGATTAGTTAATATGTATACTTCAAAGCGAATTCTTCATTCTTACATTAGTTGGATTAGAATGACATGGAAGCAAGATCTTTCGGTGGTGTGCTTTGCGTTCGTATAACATACTAGCGATAAACCCAACAGGTGCTCTGATTTGAAATTGTCGGATGAAACCGCTCGAGACACAAATACTAACACATAATTACATAATCAAAACAAAAAAAGAATGAATATGCCGGCATATAGATCGAAAACATGCGTGTAAATGCATTCTGTTGATATAACAAAAATACTTGTATCACACGCAAAATAATTCAATTAGATTTAAAGAAAAGCATGTTTCGCCTTTCGTCTTCTTACGAGTGGACATACTGGCGATTAGACTTTTGCTATATCAGCTTGCGTGTGATCTCTTGAAGGAACGTGCGATTGCATATTGTATGTACGTTACTAAAAACAAAAGATATAAAATTTCGTAATTAGTAATTACCATTTCAAATTGAGCTGAGCTGGGCGTAATGGACTTGACTTGACTTTGCGTCTGAGCCACGTCGCTCGAAACCTACAACAAACACGCCATGCAAAGCAATAATTTCACAGTTAGTCGCATAGAATGAACTAAGTACATATCTTATTATTCGCCGAATAGTTTAAATATGCATTTATGTTAGTCAATATGTCTAACTGTCATACATACTTTAGCAGGATTAATAGGCCTTCGGAAGAAGTAGATTTCGTCTTCAGTTACCGCCGACGTGTGATTGAACTTCTTTAAACCGTCTTGGCTAAGCTTTTTCATCAAACTTTTACTTTCGTCATAAAGCGATTCACAAATGTACACGTCATCCTCTGGTATCTCTGTCGGTCTGCCTATATAATTCATTAATGATAATGTTGATATATTCCATTTTTTAATTTAATTTATTTAAATTCATTAGACGCTGGAATGATAAACACTTACTACATATATATTCTCCGTAATC